CTTATAATAATAATATTATAAGAAATAATAATTATAATTTGTAATGATAATTATAATTAAATATAATAATAATTATAAATTAGTATTAATTATAATAATTGAACTAAAAAATTATAATAACTATTATAAATCTCAACAATCATAATTATAATAATAATTAATAAAATTTATATATGAAAAGAAAAATAAATTATAATCTATTTTAATAGTTATTAGAATAATCATTACATATGGAAAAATCTAATAATTATATTTCTGATTCAGGGTGTTGGCAGACTTGGACAATCTAATGCCAGGGACGACGACGAGGCGTACGATGACTATTATGATGGTTCTGGCACCCGACACACTAGAAGTCGGGGTGTCAATGCGTCCGTTCGTCGGGAGAGGGACACGGAAAGGCAGGCGTTGATCGATGAGGCTCGTAGGTTACAGCTTCGTCAGGCTAGCCAGAGTTCCCGCCCCCCGGCACCAGTGCCCACTGGTCCATATCATTTTGAGGGCCAGCCAGATAGTTCGCGACCCGACGGAGCCCTCCCGTACGGCGAACATGGATTTTATTATCCTGGCCAGGCGGGCAGGACGATGCCCCCAGCACCAGGACCGTACGATCAGCCGGGATGTGCTTTTCCCGGCTACGCAGGGAAGTCGAAACCCCCCCCGCGCACGCGTACCATTACCTTATGGTCAGCAGGGGTATGCTGATGATGAGTCGTACGGCGAGAGGGAGCCGGGTCCAGAGGACTATGACTCGGACGACTCTTCAGATGATCAGGACCACGCACAGCCTACGGGTCCTAACCACCCTCGTCCTCCTGTACAGCCAGTTCGTCCGGTACAGCCGGTTCTACAGCATGTGCGTCCGGTACATGTTGTTCGTCCCACACAGCCTGCTCCTCAACGACAGGCTAGGGGGCGTTTTGGCCCATCTGCATCCTCATCAGGTAAATAATTTACTTATTTATTGTTGTTTAACATAAATTATTTTCACTTAATCATAACAAATTATCGGTACTGTTAGAAAAGTATTATCGGCCTGCTCCTCAACTATAGCATAATTATTTTGTAATTTAGGGTAAGTTGAATAAATTGTAATTAATTATAAAATCAAAAAATAATATTAATAATTATAAATTATGTATGCTTATAATAATAACGTAAAATATAAAATGTAATGTAACTAATGAAATATGTTTTATTAAATATTTTTTAATTAATGCATCTGCCAGCAAGTGAATATATACAGATATGTTGTATTTTAATGCAGGTACTAGCAAACGAGCTAGGACCGATGATGATGCACCCTGGATCGTTAGAGGCCCAGTACCCGGTGGGCCCATTGATGGGAGTGTCATCCCTAGCTTTCTTGGGCACGTCGCCTCCCGCATGTGGAGTGGGAATTTGAGGGGGCCGCTGAAATGCCACAACAGACTGCGAGCGATCGAGAATCTGAAGGCTTGCGGTGAAGAGATGTCTTCCGATGCGGGAGCTCTTCTCGACCAGACCGGGCTGTCACATTTGGTCGACTCCATGCACACCCACTTGGACACCCCACTCTTTTCTGCTTTTGTGGAGCGATGGCAGCCGGATACTAACTCGGTCACCAAGGGCGAACTCATGAGTTCGTTCTGGCAGCGTGGTTCGGTGTCCGAAGCCGCCATTTCGGGGGCATTTAGGGGGAAACGCCGGCCGGCTAGGGATGAGGCGGGTGCCTGGATGTGGGTGATGCTGGCTACCACTTTGTTCGTCGACAAGAGTGGTAGTAGAGCGACCCCCAAGCTCCTGCACGAGGTGCTCGACGGCTTGGATTTGATTGGGGGTTACTCATGGGGATCGGCTACGCTGGCATACATGTACAGACAGCTAGGTATTGCCAGCCGAGGGGACTCTGCCCAGATGTCGGGCTGCTTGACTCTTCTGCAGTCTTGGATATATGAGTATTTCCCCGATTTCCGACCCCGGGGGCGTCTACCTATCGGTCCTGACTGTCTCGCACGATCACGCTCGTGGAGCGTAGGGAATGCGCCACGGTCAGACGATCGGCTCACAGCCATCCGTCGGCGCCTCGACAGACTCACTGCCTCCGATGTACGTGAAGTTATTTTATTTAAATTTAGTTACCCGTTATTTAAAATAATATAATTATTTTTATAAATGCTCTTATGTAATTGTGAACAGGTGCAATGGTTGCCATACGGCAGCTCCAGCCCAGATGCGATAGAGCCGAGGACTCTTTATAGCGGATTGATTCGATACCGCGATGTCGTCGAGCCGTACTTGCCTGCGCGGTGTCTGCGTCAGCTGGGGTATGTCCAGACTGTCCCTCCCCCTATATACCCGCCAATCAGTGCAGTACGTGCTTGGGAGTCTAGGAACTACAAGGTTGAGCATTCTGAGGCTGGTGCAGTAGGTGCTTGGACCCAGTTCCCGATTTCTGGGACGGTCAACACCGGTATGTTGACCCACACCACACAGGATCGCGGGGAGGCGACTGAGGATTACCTGCAGTGGTACAGTCGGGTTTCCCATCCGACTCTCATGGGCGAGGAGCTGTCGGACGAGAACGAGGTCCCAACGCGTGTCAATACCGCCTATGTAAGTTGGTTACTAAATTTTAATTAATGTTAATTCATTACAATAATTTTTTTTTAATAAATTTTAGTCTTATCTTTTTATTCTTCTATTTTTTAGTGGGTGGACCGTCTTTTGGGCATTACATCGATTTGACAGCAGGGATGCGAATGTCCGGTGGCGGCGGAAGTCGAAGAACAGCTGGCTAAGTTTAAGTTGGATTACGACAATGCCCAATAATGATGTGATGAATGTTTTTTTTTAATTATTATTGTAAAACATTAAGTTGAATGAATTTTTTTTTTTTTTTGCTAAACTTAAGTTGAACTGATTCATTTATTTATTTTTATTTGCTAAACTTAACTTGAATGAGAAGCGTCATACCATAACTGAATAATATCGTTCTTTTATTCAAGAAGGATTTGTTTGAACAGTATACCACAATCGCAACCTAGACTCGTACTGATCCTCCCAACCCACAACCGATTGATCTCGGAACTGGAACCACATGAAATGAATAGGCGGTAATGGACAATCATCAGTCAAATCTAAACGAATGTAGTGTGCTACGGTACCAAGATGGCAAATGGCAATCTCACGACATGGTCCTCTAACCGATGATCGTGCAGTGAGAGGCAACACTGTGGTGCTGAATAAGTCGTGCTGCCCACCTTGTGGACCAGAGCTCAAATGAACGACAACCACATTAAATAGGGTCGCAAAGGCATAGAGGTCCTGCGGAACTTCGAACCAGTGAGCCCGTCCACAAGAGCCGTTGCCCCACCTTACGCGATGGAGTCCGGCCTCGATATCTCTAAAATAGATGTACTCGTATAATTCAGGGTGGCTGTCGACCTCCTTCGCAATGCTTTCTCTTGCATCTGCCCAGTACTTCTGATGACCATACATGTGACTCGCGATGACCCGAAATCTGCAGTTACCATCCGCATCCACATTCAGATAACTCACTATGTAGTCCAACATATGCCAGGAGATACTTTGCCACAATGAAAATCCAAATATATTTGTCGGTCTAAACTCTACAATAAATATCATAATAATTTCACGTCACAATTTATATAATCATATAAATACTTTAATTAACGCTCAGCCATATTTAAAGAAAAAAATGTATGACCTTCATCCTCTTGTGACTGTTGAGAAGACGAACTTGTCTGTCCACACGAAGAATTGGTCGTACGGCTCGATTTCCAACCTCGCGATCTATTGTTTTACTCAAAAGCAGATGGTTTACGCTTAGTTGAATTAGTTTTCTTGGGACGACCTCGCGGGTCCTCTTAACCTCAGGTTCCGCATAATCCTGTTGGTCTGAGTAAAGATGACTGTACATTAACTGATTCACGTACCGCATCGTCGCGGGATCGCGGGTTTCAACCTCAGTCACAAGCGTCTGAAAGAACGCCGCATCTGACCATGCAGCGTGGCTCGCCTGGCTCGGATGACCAGTCCCTACAAGTATACGATAAGAAAGTCAATGAATTAAAACAAATAATGTATTTTAATAGAAAATTATAAATAAAACATTAATCTTAATTACCTGGCTCTAATATCTCGAGCGTTCTCCAGAACTGGTGAATCATTCCGAGATCAATTGGAACATCGAAATTAACTGCGTTACGGAGGAGACAGGCACAAGGAAGTCTATGAGTGAGCTGCAATACACAACCGCAACTAGTGTAAGCATCGGTGCCCAACTTCTGCATCCTCGTAAGCTCAGCGTCCAATAAACTCAGACAGTAATGCGAGACCCTCAGTATCACACTCGCGAAACGGATTCCCTCATACCGTGTATTCTTCTTAGATCTCGAGGCCTCAAGCGCCGTC